AGAGAGAGAGAGAGAGAGAGAGAGAGAGAGAGAGAGAGAGAGAGAGAGAGAGAGAGAGAGAGAGAGAGAGGGATCAGCAGGCAAGCGCACGCCATACATACAGCATCGGCTGATCACATACATCTTAGAAAACACGGCAAGCGGACTCTGAATTGGAATTCTCAGCAAACAAATCAACAGGAGATGATTTCCTCACAAAAGTGCAGAATTCTCAGACTGGAACTGTGCGGGTCATTGCACACAGCACAAGAAAAAAATGTTTTTTTCTCCCACTGGAAACCGCAATTAGGGGAAAAAAAAAACAAATTCTTCCCTCCTGTCGTCTAGCAAGGGAAGCTGCAACGGGACATCATCCTGTTACTGATTACCACTACTACTGAGAAATGCAAGCGCACAGACGCACAGCTCCTGTACTTTCTAAATGTGCAAAATGAGACTGAATCCTCCACTACCGTCTTCCGCCGAACACAACGCACACTCATTTTGACTGCATCGGACCGGAAAGACCGCGTGCGTTATGTTCGGGGGAAGACGGTAGAACGTGGAAAATTACACCGCCATATTTTTTGTCCTGTGCATTTGGAGAGTAGTGGAGCGAGGCCCTATTTTCCTAATTGGGAAAATCCATGTTGTGTAGGGCCTCGCTCCCATTCTCAACCTTCTTCACGTAGGTGGAATGCAATGTGGACCAAATACATTTGAACTAATCAAAGGTTTTGAATGTATCGGGACAATACGGTAATAAGCTCCAGATACGTTTAGAATGTTCTGCAGTGCAGCGAGGCCCGCAGTGGGACCGACGCTCCTGGTCAGCTTTGTGGAAGCGATTTACTGATCTTGAGTTTTTTGAAATCCAGTTTGTAAAAAAATTTCCCGCCATGACCACGACGACGTGGCAACTCACGTCAGCACCACGTGGGGGGCTGAATGGCGGGAAATGCCCCGTCGTCTCGTCACGGCGGGAGTTGCCACGTCGTCTCGTCATGGCGGGAATTGCCACGTCATCTCGTCATGGCGGGAGTTGCCACGTCGTCTCGTCATGGCGGGAATTGCCACGTCATCTCATGGCGGGAGTTGCCACGTCATCTCGTCATGGCGGGAGTTGCCACGTGGTCGTCGTCATGGCGGGAATTACGTACTGGATCTCGGCGAGGTGGAAAAACATCGGAGAGGCGAAAAACATAACGGAGGGAGGAATGAATCTAGGTGTGGTCGGGATCGGGATTGCGGCGCGTGTAGTCAACTGCGAAAGGAAATACGACAGATAAATATTCTTGTCCCGATAACATTCAAAAGCTTTGATTAGTCCAAATGTATTTGGTCCAAATTGCAGTCCAGATACTTGTAGTCAACTGGGAAAGGAAATACGAGAGATAAAAATACCGACTCATATGGTTGCTTCTCTCACCTCGAATTGCTACCCTCTTTAACCAAATAGAACGCCCGGTCATTCATTATAGCGCTGAAGGGAACTGTATTTGGATCGATTAACAGGGCAGATGCTGTGATAATGACTGAGCGTTCTATTGGGTTGAAGGGGCAGTAGTTTGTGCCCGCTCTTGTGTGTTGGGACCTTTGCGTGCTCTACCCAAGTGAATGGGCCTCGCTCCACTCGGCAATTGTGAAGAAGAGAAAATTAGAGTGGACGTATATTTCCACCTTTTAGCTGAAGGTACATCCTCTATCTTCATGCTATTTGGTGATCAGTGCAGCAGTGCCGTATATGGCATACATGGCTGAAAAGGGGCGCAGCCGATCGTATTTTTGTCTATTTTCGGGTCAGACGTAATCACAGCTTATAATGTCTTAAAAAAAAAAAAAAAAAAAAAAAAAAAAGCTTATAATGTCTACCTACTAACTGAAGGGCATTTTAATAGTATGTCCCGACGCAGCCAGGATAGTGAGCGACGTACAGATGGATGTCCGGCCGGCCGTGCACATACGTCAAGTTGATAGGTCAGGAATTAGGGCTTAGGTAGATGCTTGTGGATGGGTACAGGTGTTGATCCATGGCCGATTTGGTAAAATGTCTCACGAGATGGATGCATACGGCCAAGGTAGATTCTTCTGGATGGGTACGTTTAGGCAAGAGACGTCAGGCTTCGCACGGTTTGTATGTTCACAATGTGTGTGTGTGTGTGTGTGTGTGTGAGAGAGAGAGAGAGAGAGAGAGAGAGAGAGAGAGAGAGAGGGAGAGAGAGATGGTGGAGAAATTTGAACACACACAGATGGCCACGTCATCCAGCTGTGGGTTATCTCGATTGACGGAATGATGGCGTGACTGGAGGTGCTGTGCATGTACTGTAACAGTTGATCTGGTGCAACTTTGCCCTTCTTGTGTGTGTGTGTGTGTGCGAGAGAGAGAGAGAGAGAGAGAGAGAGAGATGCCGGAGAGATTGGAACTTGGAGAAAATGACGGGGTTGTTTAGATGGGGTTCTCACGGACTGAGATTTACATGTTTGCTGCCGGCGAGGGTATTCACTTTTCTGACTGGGATCTGTTACTAGAGTAATTGGACGTATTGATTTCCATGTGAGATGATGTTCCATAATGCGAGAGTAGAATGCACAGGTATACTGTGATACGGAAGCAATTCCCATCTCTTTTCCCCCCACCTCCGCCCCCCTTGCCGCCCTTTCATGAAACCGTTCGAAACACGTTGTCATTGTCTCTCTCATTGCCGTTCATGAATGGACTGCGCGCAGGTGCAGGTTTCTTAACCCTAATCCTGCCTGCAAGAGTCTTGCAGGTAGGTATATTCGTCGTAACTCTCCATTTCTCTGGCGACACATGCTGTGTGCGTAGGAGCTCTCGTACGAACGGTCCTTGTTCTGCTTCGCTGTGTCAATCCGATTGGCTCTTTGCCATCCGATTTGTCAATCCGGTTCGCTGGAGCGGAATGGTATAGGCTACACCATGTTCGATGCCATGCGAAATGAGCAGGGAACGTGCGCAGGTTGGAGTACCGTGATTGGGTTTGCTTGCTTGCTTGATTGATTATCGTGATTGGGTTTGCTTGCTTGATTGATTGAATCCGCCCCCTGGATGCACCACCCGTTATATGAGTGAATGCGGTGGTGCATCCAGGGGGTGGATCGTGTCTGGGTTATTAGAAGGGCGCCGATTTGCTTGCTTGCTTGCTTGATTGATTGATTGATGGGGTGTTACGAGGAGTAACTCATGATTGGCATTGTGGTCGATTGACGAGTTCTGTTTGCATGGGGGTTTAGGAGGGGGGTAGGTTGGTTGATTTTTAGCGATGGCATTCCATGTTTTTGATGGCAAGGTAGGTGAAGAGGGTTGAGGTACGTGCATGGACCTTAAGAAAACACAAATAGACCTTATATAGGTGAAGATGGGTGTATTCTGTTAGTGGGAATGAGGTAGGTAGTTAGCTATTGACATTTTTACTACGCTATATTCTTCTCTCAAATCTTTCATCATCTTTCAATCTACCTTCACTACCTACCTACCCACCACTACTCCTAAGGCTTATACAGGGGACCCCTGCGAACATATCTTTGTCGTCTCCCTCCAGCCATCAGAGGGGATGCATGTTGGCCCCCCCCCCCCCCCCCCCCCCCCCC